GCTCATTTGGATTTAAGAGACAGCCTCAAAATGAGCTGATCTGAGACGCACCTCAGAAAAGTGGTGAAAGAGGGGCTTGTGGAGTTACAATAAGGAGAAATTCAGACCAAAGCATTGCAGTTGCATTTTATAAAGACACCAACTAAAGTATTTAAATGTCAAAAAGAAGGATTTAAAAGCAGGATATGTCTCCTTTAAAAGTACTTTGTTTCCTTGTGGTCGAGTAAACATCCTCCACCTTCTCAGCATCATAACACACTTGATGTAAATACAGACCAAGAAATGATTTGCACCAACCAATAAAAAAAAAAAGAAAAAGGAAAAGAAAATCTGATCTAATAGGCTTCATCATCATCTGTGGGGACTTAGATGCATTAATTAGATTGGATGCATGTGAGTGACTGCATTTCAACAACCATRCAGTCCAATTGTTGCCAGCAGTGGAAGAGTCATGCATTCAACAGTGGGTGATTGTCTGGAGTCCAAGAGCCAGTTAACCACTGATGCATACACACAAGCACTGTCTGTGAATTCAGGGGAGGCCACGTCTTATTCAGCACCGTTCTCCCATCAGGTTCTCATTTTGAAGCATGAAAAAAATGGTTGCTTTCTAATGAAAAAAAAAACACCTAAGTATTTTAAAACGTTTAATGTTCTTATTGTGTTTTTAAGATACGATACACAGGAGATATATCTCTTGTGTAATATCAAAAACGTGCTGTGATATTACACAGAACCAGCTGAATTTAGCAGGACAACCGCATGTTGATAATACACACTTCCATGAGGAATGTCTAGGTTTACAGTTGAAAATAGTTTCTCTTTTCCATGTAAAGTCTAACCACTTAAAAGCTCAAACTCAGCCACTTGAAGGTTTATATTAACCTATACTGTTTACGCCTCATTGGCCCAAAGATTCCCGTTTGTCTCATCTCTCCGAGCCTCGCTGTTTATTTTCCAACTCATCCTAACTATGAGTGAAGCCATCCTGCAGCAGACCACATGGTTTTCAGCCTTTTCATGTTTGGCTGCATGTTCATGTGGYGAGTTCAAAGCTTCTGTCGTCAAGTACAGAATCAGACTCAAATATAGCAAGTCTTTCCAAATGCATGCAACTGTGCAGTTGCAGATGGCAAATTTCTTCCCTTTGGAACTAAAATTAAAAAAAATAAAGAAAGATTTGAAAAAATAATTGAGTGATGACACATTTTAAAAGACTGGCATTAATATCTGAGTTCTGGTGACAAAAGCCCTGAAGTTGCTGGGACTTGTTAAGTCAACTGGTGCTCCTGTCAGGGAAAAACGCCAAAGAACCTGAACAGAAAAAAAAAAAACCTACAGCTGCCTTTTCAAGGGAAAATCAGCTTTGGAAAGAGTTGAAACTGTGATCTGGAAACTTACGCTGCAGCCGCGGAAACGTGTCCACTCCTTGTCCGTTGAGCTCCTAAATGCATTTGTATGCATTTGTCCAGGCAGCAGAGATCTGGGTGAAAACAGAATCACACTGGAGGGGATGCCTGCGCATGGATGTGCTCACCCCTTTGGGAACAGCCAAAAGCAGTAAAGCGGACAGAGGATGGCTGCAGCCTCAGAAATGCTTCATCTCACTGCTGCGCTCCGGAGGTGAGATCTCTTCCACTTAAAAAGAAAAAAGAAAAAAGAAAGAAGAAACGAAAGAATGAAAACAGGGTCGGAAGCTTTGCGCGTTGCGCTCTGCGGCGCGCAATGATCGCGTTCTTTCTATCCAAGACGCGCAAAAGGAGAGGCGGCTTGGAGAGCGACAAGTCGGCTCTGCGATGGATTGAAAGTGCCTCCTCTGTGGGAAACRAGAGAGGAAGACTTCGTCCTGGTCTCCAGCTCAGCAGAAGGTTCTCTTCTGTGCGTCGTTTCCTCCAGGCGCTGGTTCCAGTATGTGCCGTGACTTGCACCGATGCGAGTGGACCCGTGTTCACCCCATCACAACTCCAACCAGCTGGCGGTGTTAAATTTCACCAGAGACTCACGCGTGACATCACGGATACAGATTAGGCTTCTTTCCTTCAGTGTCCAATGTTTTTTAACTACTGTTTTACCCTAAAGCAGCTTCTGTGGGCTTTTTTTTTTACAACGTGAAATGAACATTACAGAACATACTAATTAAATATAAAACAAAATATAAACTCCCATGAATTAAAACTCACYTTGTGACTAATACAATTTTGAAAATTGACCATCTTCTAAATTCATTTGACCTCACATTAAGAAATAAAAAAAGGTTTTAAAGTCTAGATTTTCCATCCCCTCCAGCTGCAGACATATTTACATTATAAAACATATTTGCTCTGGCAATGATAAACTTTGCAATAAGCCAATATTGTTTACAACGTCTTTAAAGGAAATTATTTAATTGAAAAATTGAAAGCAGTTGTTTTTGTTTTTAACTCTTTTGATTGATCATGGCCTGGATAACTGAGACCCTTCACCAGCATGTCTTTAAAGGAGTCATATCTTGCTTTTAAATCTTTTTTCACATTTAAATCATTCATTTGGGGTCTAAGTAGAAGTGCATTGCTTTGGTCTAAATTCCTCCTTATTGTAACTCCACAAGCCCCTCTCTCACTTTTCTGAGGGATGTCTCAGATCAATTCCTTTTGGGGCTGTCTCCTTAAAGGCACAGTGTGTAGGATTTTGTCAATTCCTTTAGCCAAAATTGAGATAATCACTAATGACAATAATAAAAAAACATGTCTAATCATTGCAGACAAAGACCTTGTTTTATTATTTTTACCTTATAAAAAGCTGTTTATATCTCCATGGTCGCGGGTCGCCACTACAGGCAGCCGCCATCTTGTCTACGAAGGCTCATGAAGGACAAACTGCGGTGGCGGCATCAAAAACGGTTTTAGTTGTAATACTATAAATGTAATATTTGTTGTCTGTCATTGTAGCTGGGATAATTTTACTTATTAAAGCTCATAATCTTACCACTTGAAACATCACTAGCCCTGAAGCTGCTGGTAGACATCGCGGTTGGAATTRTCAAAGGTTTTTGACACCTGAGAGACACCGTAGCAACTCCTTTGCGTTTGGAAGCGGGGGGTGGGGGTGGGGGGAGGACCAGGGAGGATGATTCAACCACTCAACCACTAGATGTAGGTGAAAACAACAAATCCTACACACTGTGCCTTCAAACCCCACCCCCTCCAGCTCAGAGTGGTCCATTCCAGTTTGTTAGAGGGGTTTAMGACCACATAGCAGCGCAGAAACTTTTTATTGTCTATGACATGTCATACAAAATTCACTGTTTCAGACATTTAACACATTTTGTTTCATACTTGGAGTCTCTAAGAGTGCAGAACAGTTKAATTTAATCACACTCAGTGCTGCGTATATCTTTATATTCTGTTTGAGTCATATTTCTCAACAGTTTTCTCTATTCTCTGTGATGYTTTCTGAACTATWACACARTATTTGAGRCAGAACTGCCGAATAAGGTCTGGACTCCAATTTGGTGGTCTTCATTCTCCTCTGGCTCTGAGTCAGACTCCAACATGTAAGGGTGGACGGACAAGTCTTCCYTTGTTGACATCTTCTWATTTCTTTGTAAATAMGAAGTTTCTGCACCGCAATATAGTCGTAAACCCCTCTATCAAACTGGAMTGGAMCRTTCTGGAAGYTGGATGGGGGCAGGGTCTGAAAYGCCTCGTTTGGATTTAAGAGACAGCCTCAAAATGARTTGATCTGAGACACACCTCAGAAAAGGGGTGAAAGAGGGGCTTGTGGAGTTACAATAAGGAGAAATTCAGACCRAAGCRTTGCAGTTCCATTGTYTCTTTTAATGCAGATGTTCCTCTTAAAATGATTCCTTTCCCTKATTTCCATGATTTTTGTTTTCCAAACAGTTGGTTCAAGTTTACAMGATTTTTCTGAAACATTCCATTTTTATTTTATTTAAATCTTACACATCCAAACTTTTTCCAGAACTTGGGGTTGTTTATGCAGAAAATAAAAACTGAAAATACAAAGATTTATTGCTTTCTGTGGATCCTTTACAATATTCACATTGTGCTCAGTGATATTGAGTTAACGATTTTAAAATTTTGAAGTATTGCGCAGCTCTAGTTCTAACAAAACAGAGCTCTGGACATCTCCTGGCCCAAGAACACATCCAGTCTTCCTCTGAATGTCCAAGACCTCTCTGTCCATATGGTWTGTAGTTTAGGGAGCAGGAGGGGGGAGACTGAGCAGTTCCTGCTTTTAGTCCCAGGTGGAACAAGTTTCTCAACCTGAAAACAGCTAAAAGAACAGATCAGTTTAATGCCCAAACATGGAGTGACACAAAAAAGGACAAAGTGACATGGAAACTCTCTCCAGGAGAATCTGCAGACTATAAACACTGAGGTTAACAAAGAGTTTGTAGAGTCTGCAAACGGTGCATCGGACCCTTTTTTTTTYTTTTTTCTTTGGTGAGATCCATATACGTCTGCAACACTAGGTCAAAATGTCGTCTTTAATGAGACAGTGGTCCACGAAGAGCAAACATGTGCTCAGGATTCACTTTTTCTCTCTTGCTTTGCCCTCAGCTTGTTTCATGATGGCAATGTTTTGGCCAGATGTTTTCTTCCATTGCCAGAAAACTAAAATGTTTTGATGCTGCTTCTCTGAAAATGAACTCTTTCAAAAAAAGAAAAAAAGAAGAAGTAGACATTCATTTATTTTTGAAGCAAACTAAATGTTCACTTTCAGAGAAGTGAAGCAATTTCTTTAACAAAAAAAAAACAAAAGCTTTATGTTTCTTTTTGGAATTATACCTCATAATGTCTTCAGTCAAAACACACTAAAAGTGGTAGCAGACTTTCCATGATGATTCCTTTTTTCCCTATATGTGTACTAATTAATCCAGTGTGCAATGACCAACAAATCAGGCCCAAAGAGCAACTGGTGTTGGGTAATGAGAGTCAGACCAACTTTGTTTACGCTCATCAGGCAAAGCAGATGAGCGAATACGCTAGGGGTGTAAGAAAATATCGATACATTGAAATATCGCGATATTTCATTTCYCAATACTGAATCGATATTCTAAAGCCCTGTATCGATTTTTTATTAAGATTTAAAACGTCAACTTTCCTGCCAGCCGTTCATTTTTATGTTGTAGTTCAGCCTCTGACCACTAGTTGGCAGCAGTGAGC